GAAAAATTAGCAGGCACCGTTTTGACTTTCTTCTTAAATACGTCATCACAGAGGTGTTACCAGCCTCTCTAAGCGGGCCAGCAGCATGGCCATCTTCAGAGCCATCAGAGACTGGCTCTGTCAGACATGCTGGAAGTTTCTAGCAGCTTCTCACAGAAGCTACTCCTGTGGCCCCCCGCTGCCAAAATCACAGAAGCTACTCCTGTGGCCCCCCGCTGCCAAAAACCAGGCTGTGCCAAGCCCACACATAGTATTAAAGGATTTAAAACTGGATTTGCCATGAAAAGGTCCCATTGATTCTCTACAGCTTTCATTGGATTTTAACTCTATTGACCATTCCAACCCAGGAATGGTTTTTCATGAGCATTGATCCCAACTGACATCCATCCATGAAGCTTCCTGCAAAATATAAAATATTATCCTACCATGTTTTAATAAATAAAGGAAATAAAAACCCCATCAGTGTAACAGGGAACTACCACACCCATAAATCCTTACAGGACAGAGAAATTTAATCCAGGAAACCACTGGGTGGAATGAGAGTCTGCACTTCCCAAGGGCAGGGTTTGCTAGATACCTGAGCGAGGAGCAATCCACCTCCTTTTAGACACCCAATGAGACACCACCAGCAGCAAAAGTACAACCCTGCACTCCCACTGTGCCTGTGCCCACACCCGGACCCTCAACAGCACCTACAAAATTGAGATATTCCAGTGCAGACTGGGAAGGCTGCACAGAGACCTACTGGATTTCCTGTGTGATTTCCTACTGGAAGAACAGCCTGTTTGTGTAAAAGTTATCACTGAATTGCACATCTCATTATTGCACATCTCATAATGGCAGATCTCATTATGGCATCTCAGATTCTGGACCAAACTTTGGAAAAGGTTGTGACTCTCCAGAAAAAATTGTTAAATAAGAAATGTAATGTTTTTCTGAATCAAGTATGCACTATCCTGACTTTTTCTCTTGAAGAAAGTGAAAGTTGTATAACAGATGAGAATGGACTAGTTAATCTAAAAAGCCAAAGCTATTCACTAAACATTGGCCTGATAGATACACTTTTAAAAAGGCAGAAAAAATATGTATAGAGAATGCCAGATAGATTGACAGAAACTTGTGTCTTAAAATAGCAATATTCACATGAGATACACTTCATTATGTGGACCCTGCAGGTCAGAAGAATGTGTATTGAAAATAAATGAGTTCTATCCTTCAACTGTCATGGCCACTGGCAATAAATAGACACCTGATGAGGCAGAGCAGGCACAAGGGAAAAGTTTGTGTTAGTTGGAATGACTGGGCGTGCAGAAAGCGCAGCCCAACACTGCATTTAGCAAACAGCCCGGCTGAGGAAGGCGGTGCCAGGCTCCCAGAGCACACACCCAGGCTGTGCTGGGCAGGGCTGAGCTGCTGGGGAGCGTTTCCCAGCAAGGGGGGACTGAGGGATCCCATTGCCCTGCTGCTCACATTCCCAGTATCCACGCCCAGGCCATCCCATCCCATTCCTCACTCCGTGTTTGCCCACGGGCTGAAAGGGTTTTCAGAGGTTTTCTCCCCGTTGCCCCCCACATTTGCTGGGCCCCACACAAAATCCTCTTGCAAGTGTCTCCTGCGACTGCCCAGCACCATCCCAGGCCGGAACGGTGAAGGCCACGAGCCCCACCGGCAGCCCTGGGAAAGAGGCTTTGCTCCACACACCCACAGGGACTCCCAGAACATCACGGTGCTGTGGCGAGGGCCGATGAGCCCAAGCTGTGCCAGGCTCAGCAGCAGGGGGATGCAAGACCTTGATGTCACGTGGAGCAACAGGAGCACAGCTCCTCCAGGAAAATGCCATCTTCGAGGTCACTTCCAGCCAGGACCTCCTGGGGGGAGCAGTGTGGAAAACAGGGAGGGGATTTCCTTGGCTGCTGCTATCAGGCTTTCCTCCTCCACATGCTGCAAGGGAATGGCTTTGCTAAAGCGTGTTCTGCCAATTTTCTCTTCTTCACTGGCTTTGCCTACAGCAGAGCTCTGCATTATCTTCTCTGCTGTTCTGTGTGTGGCAATGCTAGTGCAGGATCAGCACAGTCTGCTAAGTCCTGGCAGTTCCCTTTGGGGTATTTCTGCAAAAAAGCTGTGGGTACTCACTCCAGACCTTAATATGGGAAATGCTGTCTGAGAGGTATTAGGGGGAGAAGGAACAGGAAGTGTAGGGAAAATACAGCTCAAGTCCTGTTATTAACACAGTGACAGAGGGTTTAAACAGGGCAGGGGAGGAGGAAGGAGGGTAAAGTCAAATGTTTTCAAAGTGCCAAGACGCTGCCGTTTCAGCTCCTGCTCTCCATGCAGCAGCAGCACTGTGGGCTTTATTCAGGGACACTGGGCACACAAAACCCCCATGCACCAGAGGGCAGAGCTGACCAGAGGCAGCACAGCACTGACTCCTCCAGCAGCACCTTCTTGCAGAGTTCCTGTTTGGTGCAGCCCTCTGCTGCAAAGCTCCTGCCTCCTCTGCTCCCAGCTGCCAGAATTGGGGAGTACATATAAAACCCTCATAGCTCTTCACCCTGATGACATACTGCAGAACTGCCCTGGGATTTACACTCTGTTTCCCCTCAGGAAACAAATCAGGCTCCAGTGATGACTCTTCTCCAGCGGGTGCTGCAGCAGGATGGATGTGCTGTCACTGAGCCCGAGTGCAGCTGCAACAGGTTGGTGGTGATTAAATGCAAAATTCATCCAGGACATGAGGTTCTGATTCAGCCTGGAGGCAGCTCACAGACCTTTACAGCATTCTCCCTGTGGAAACACCTACTCATCCTTCAAACAGACACTTTTTCCTGCCTTTTATCTGAGAGGTAAAATCTGGAAGAAAAATAGGGTTGTTGTGTCCCTGTTGAGTGCTACTTCCTGGATTTCCATAACCTGGGGGATTACCTGGAGTCAGTGAGATTGAAGCCCTGCCTCTGTGAGAGACAATGTTGTCTTCTTGGCTCAGGTAGGAGCTGCTTTGCAGAATGGGCTGAAGTATTGCACTCAATCTCTCACTTTGACAAGGACAAGCGCTGTCAGTCCATAATATCCTGTCTCTTTCTAGCTTGCCCTGATCTGTTTTAGAAGAGCATTTATTTGGCAGACAGGGAATGTTTGTCTTTCTGGAAACTACAGTATCCCCCATGAGAAAAAAAAAAAAATTAAAAATCATTTTTTCAGAAGCAATTATCTCAAAAACTCAATAGCTAGAGGTGACACCCTGCTGGGTCCCGGGGGCTTGCCAAGAACTCCTCTCTTCTGCTTTTGAAAGTCCTTTTTTAAGCCCTGCAGGTGCTTTGAAAGTGCTGGTTGCTCCCTGGCTTTGAGGTTTTTGCTTTTGGCTAGTTCTTATTTCATTCTTGGCAAGTCCACAGGCAGAATAGCTCCCACTTCCCATACTTTGCTACAGTCAAGAGAGGTCTGTCCATCCTCCTGGGATCTGACCTCACTTCCCAACTCTTCTGTCCCCTGGACTTTTGCATCTGTTTCGCCTTTTTTATCCCATTCTCCAGACTTGCTCACACATGGCTTCTCTTTAGCAAGCTCCTCTCCTTGGAACTTGGTGGACGCCTTCCTACAACTCGGATGACCCAACCCCTGCTCAGACCTGCCCAGGGAGCAGAAACAAGGGAATGGTTTGCCTGAATATCCAGTCTGAAATAGACACAGCAGTGGAGATATAGATGCACAGGTAATAACTGAGGCATAAAATTCTGTGTTCCTGCTCCGAGGTGTAAAGAGAGCCCAGTCCAGGAGACGGCAATGACTTCGGTGCTGTTGTCAGCTGGACTCATTTGTTCAGACATCCAAAGCAGCACAGACTGAAAACATTCCCTCCTCCCAAAACCAGACAAAGATTCTGCTGATGAACCAGGGGATCACAAACCCTGCCCAGGACCTGCTCTCTGCAGGACACACCACAATTAGCAGAACAACCAGCAGCACTCCCAAGAAATAACCACCTGAAACCTGTAACATTGCTGACTCCAGGATCACAGAGCCAAGGCACTGCCCAGCATAGCCTGAGAGCACAGTGGGACTTAGCCCAGACCCCAGCACCCCCAGCTCAGCCAGGATGGGGCTCAGCCCCCTCTGCAGCCCCTGCCCAGTCCCCTCACCTGCCCCAGTGGCACAGAGGGGCATCACTTCATCCAGACAACCTCCTAGTAATTCTCATTTTACACTGACACATTTAGCACCACAGCGCCCAGGCCAGCCTGCACTGCCATCAGGGTGCCAGCCAGAAGCTGGAAACTCAGCAGCAGCTGCTTCCCTCAGGATACTCAAGTACCAGGCTCACTCCACCTGCCCCCCTCTCAGAGCAGACCGGGATCAGAGCTCAGCCTCTCCGTTTCTTTTTCTCTCCTTCTCTTTCCCCTCCTTTCATCTAACACAGCACAGGAAGGACACAGCACCAGGCAGGTACCCAGCTGCTACCCACACTCTGCAGTGAACCAGGATTTATGAGCCAGGAACACCAGGAACAAGAAGAAAAATTTCCCCTTCCAGAGTTCCAGCAACACTGAAAACACCTGGAGAAACACAGTTGCACACTGCTCAGACCAGCCCTGAGCACCTGCCCTTCTTGTTGGCTCTGCCCAGCCCTCTCTGCTTCCTTCAGCTGGCTGACATCCACTGGCCATGGCAAGAGACCCTCAGGCCCCCTGTGATGCTCAGCAGCATCCATCTGACCCTGAGCAAACACTGGGAGCCATGGGCCTTATGCAGGATGGAGGCTGCACCTGCTACAAACCCTTTGCAGGTCTGGCCCCACAAAACCCCCATTAGGACTCCAACAAACAAACTTCAGCTCAACAGGCTTCCTCCTGCTCCTCCTCTGCCATGCCAGAGCCTGGCAGCCACTGTCTCACCACACTGGACCCACACAGCTTGGCCAGTGACCTCCAGGGCTGTCCTGGTCCTGCAACACCATGGTCCACATGCCCAGAGAAGAGAAAAGCAGAGTGTCTGCTCATACTCACTGTTTTGAAGTCCTTGTGGTTGCACTCCTGGCCTCTGAACTTGCAGTACAGCATCATATCCTTCAGGTCGTGGCCAACCCGTGACAGGAACTCTTGCATGCTGAAAACTTTGGGTTTATACTGCTTAAAGTTGGCCTTTTCTTGGAGGGTGGCTAAGACAGCGGGGTCAGCCAGGTGAGGGTTGGGGATCTGTAGGTTGACATCCAGCAGAGCCAGGAGCTCCCCAGCATGGTACAGGTCATTGGTGGTGAGCCGGGAGAAGCGGAACTCGTTGAGGTTACAGATGGTGACAGCAGGAAACACCAGGCTGTTCGCCACCACCTCGTCCACTTTGGTCACGTGCTGGTAGGAGAAGTAAAAAGCCACCCTGTCCGAGCTCTCCACCAGGAGCAGACCTAGCGAGCCCACAAAGGCCAAGGTCCAGAGCAGGCGCCGGATGGTCACCGGCCCGTAGACAAAGACGTGACGGATCCCGTGGAGCGTGGTGGTGTTGGCAAAAATCTGGATGCTGGAAGGCTGCAGGCTGCCCATGCTGCCCTCGCTGGTGCTGTCCTTCAGATCCATAGTTCATTTAAATCCTGGTCCTGCTTTTTGGGTCAGTCTGGAGCCAGAACTGGGGTCTGGATCTCTCCCCTCTCCTCTCCAGAGTAATTAAACCCTTCCAGGGGCAAGCGAGGGAAGCGGAGTGAGACCAGCTGCTGCGAGTTTATCCCACGAGCTCAGCAGTAGCTTCGTCGGGGTAAATATTTATATAAAATCCATTCAAACTCTTGCTCTTGATTTCCTCGGTGCGATAAGGAGGGCCGGTTTTATTTAGGGAGACACCAAGGTGATGTGGAAGAGATGTGGGTGGGCAGCGAAAGCTGAGCCAATGGCAATAAAGTCCTCCCCCTGCACACACACACACAAGCACACACGCGCCGAGGGGAGCTGAGATTAAGCGAGCGATCCTAAAACAAGCGGAGGCAGCTCGCAGGCTGTTAACTAGCGCGGAAAGCCGAGGATGCTGCTTCCCGCAGATCTTCAGCCCGACCGGGAGATGCTCCCCGAGCTCCGGGGATGCGACTGCAGGATTTAGGCATCTCTCCTCCTCCATTTTGGGCAGAAAACACCACCCCGAAAACCCAGCCTGTGCTGTCGGTGTGATTTGCAAGGGAAAGGTGGGCAGCTAATTCAGAGGGAGAAATAGGAGAGCAAAAGGGGGAGGGAAAAGACAAGGCTAAAAAATAAAAGGAGAGACTGAAAAATAAAAGAGAAGAAGGGGATTGCTGCTCAGCTCCACGCACGCACACACGCAGATCAGAAAGAAGTGCATTAACCCGCTGCTCTTTCACACGGCAGCTCCGAGCAAAAGCCAGGCAGGGCAGGAGCCGGGCAGCGGCCGCCCAGGGCTGTGGCGTCTCTCATCTCTCCCGTGTGTCTCAGAGCTCTCCGGCCCTGCAGGACTGTCAGGGAGCAGCGCTGGGAGCCGTGAGTCACACACGGTGCGGAGCCCGCGGCAGGGACAGCGACAGGGACAGGGACAGGAACAGGGACAGGGACAGGGACCCCCAGCTCCAGGCTGAGTCTGCAGCGGCTGTGCCTCGGCGGGGCCGGGGACTGTGCCCAGCAGCTCCTGAGCTCGGCCCCCCAAGGATCCCCAGCTGCTCCGTGTGCCGCCGGCAGGCAGCTGTGAGGGATGTGTTTGGGGAAGGCGCTCCCAGATGTGCGTTCAGCCGGCAGGCTGGGAAGGAGGGGGTGGAGGGGAGGAAAACTGGGTTTTCTGCCCAGGAGATGCTGCAGATGCTGTGACAATGCCTCGGTGCATGCGTGGTGCGGCTGCAGGAGTGGTAGTGAGGGGGATCCACGCCAGAGGTGTGAGGTGCTGGGTCTGAGCAGGGTCGGAGAAACTCCTTTCATATCAGCTCCACGAACAGCAGGGCTTCTGCTCGCTTTTTTTCAGAGCCAGAATGAAATCCCAGGACTTCTGTCTCTCTACAGCACCGAACCCTACAGCAGGTGAGGGTCCCAGAGCATGGAAGTGCCTAGAATGTGACTTTCCCAGTTGGAATGAGGTGGGAGCAGAGGATTGAAGCACAGGCAGAGCCTGCCACGGTCTGCAGGGCAATGCCTCATGACTCTCAGCCACCTTTAAAGATTAAATGAGCCCAGTTTCTGGATTTATCACCCTGAGTGCAGTTACCATGACAACAGACCATTTGCTCCATTTGGCCCCTTCACCTTTCAGGTGCTTGACTTCACTGATGGACCCCCAGACTCTTGTCACCAGGCCAGAAGCCACCCTGTCCTCCCCCTGATGGTTTTCACCCAGACATAAGATAATTTCAGCTTTGCTGTCTCCACATTTGGCCTTGGCAGCCAAAGGCAAGTGGGGCTGTGCATCCCCCAGCACAGATGTTCCTATGGGAATGTCTCTCAGTCTGAGCTACCCATACAAGCCCTGCTACAACACTACTTTCTCCAGTTTACTCCAGAGAGTCTGAGGCAAAGAGGGGACAAAGGACTTGGAAGCCCCGTGCTGGTTTTCCCAGAAGGACTTTTCATTCCAGGTGGCTGTCCTGAAGCTGAAGCTTCCATCCATAGCCAGAAGGCTCCAGCACCCTGTTGTCATGAATGGCTGGGGTGCAGAGGGAGCAGGAGCTGCCTCCAGAGTCTGGTTTCCTCTTGTACAAATCCACATCAGCCCTGAAATGCAAAATATGGTCCCTCCTCTTGCATCTGTGCTTGTAAGTGAAGCCAGGCTCTCAACACAGTCCATTGGTGGCTAAACAGAGCTGTGTTCCTTTTGCATTACACAGAAATTCAGACAAGGACAGATGCACAAACCTCCTGCACCTTATGGTGCCCTTTCCAGGAGAGTGGAAAAGGCAGAGCTGAGCACACCCATAAAAGCTGTGGCCCCTAATTAAAGCAGCAGAGTGGCCACAGCACCCTTGCTCCTGGCTCCGGACCTCACTGCCAGTCTCCCCTTGTGCTCATCACCCCTGCATGGTCAGGGACAATGCTCTTCCCCTCTAAAAATACCCCTGGCCAGAATGGGCTCCCTTTCCTACCCACTCCCAGCTCATCTCAAATCCCCCTCCCTTCCCCGTGCCTGAACTGGCCTGGCCGGTGTGTTAATGCTTTCATTTGTTCCCCGTTAATGCTTTCATTTGTTCCCCGTTGGTGCTGCCTTTGCAATCCCGTTTGCTGTAACTCACACCATAAACCATCTGCTGCCTTTTGTTGTTGAACTGTGCAGGGAGCTTTGGCTGCAGCCTGCAGGGAACAGCCCCGTGCCCAGCAGAGCTGCCTGGCACCAGCTCTGGCACCGGCTCTGCTCCGCTGCCCCTGGGGATGGGCACAAACCAGGGAGACAAAACACAGAATCATGGAATGGTTTGGGTCGGAAGGGATCATCTCATCCCACCCCTGCCATGGCAGGGACACCTTCACTGCCCCAGGCTGCTCCAGCCACAATGTCCAACCTGGCCTTGGGCACTGCCAGGGATCCAGGGGCAGCCACAGCTGCTCTGGGCACTGTCTCACTCTGGTGAGGGCTGGTGGCTCAGGCTGTGCCCAAGAGCTGCCATCGGCCATGATGTCCTGGGAGCCAAGGAAAGGGGCTGGGGATGGGCTGTGGGGTAACACCACCAGGGTGAGGGACATGGGAAGCATGGGCTGGTAAGGGCTGATGGCCCCTCTGGCCACCCGTGTCAACAACCCCTCTAAGGGACACGCAGGGGCAGGAAAGACAGCCTGGCTGGTCCCATAAAGCCCTGAGGTGGCAGAGCCCAGCTAAGGACACCTGCACTGGGGAGTGCCCAGGAATGCAGGTGGAGCTGCCATGGGAGCTCACAGCCCAGCCTCAGCCCCTGGATGTTCCTCCAACATGCTGCTTCAAATCTGCTTCAGCAGACGAGCCAGGCAGCGCCAGAAGACATATCCCTGATATGTTTGTCACCATTTTGCAGAGGTGGGCCAGGCTGGCTGGGAAGAGGGCAGGCACAGGCTGTGCAGAGTCCTCTCTCCTTTGCACAGCCTGTGCCTGCCCTCTGCTGTCTCCAGCACTTGCTGCAGTGCTCGGGATCCCACCCCGAAACACCGGGAAAAGGCTCTGTTCGAGGAGGGAAAAGGGATGAAGAAGGGTCCCGACCTGTGTGAGCCCCTCTGCTTCCCCAGCCCCACCTGAGCCCTCCCGGGAGCACAGCCCAGGTCAAGGGTTTGCAATGAGAAACGCAGGACTGACCTCACAGACACAGCAATGGGATGTTTTACAAAGAAAATGAGGTGCTTTGGTCCCCACGGCCCTGAGCCAGAGCCCTCTCCTTAAGCCTGGAAATCGCTGTGTTTTCTGCCAGTTCTTCTTTTTTTTTTTTTTTTTTTTTTAATGTTCCCTTCTGGGCCTAAAGGAAAAAAAAGAAAAAAAAGCAGTGGTGGCTGCAGTCCAGGGAAGGAGTTTGTCTGACAATCACAGAATTATTTATACTGGAAAAGTCCTCTGAGTCCATTGAGTCCAACTGAGTTGACCCAGCACTGCCAAGGCCACCCCTGACCATATCCCAAGTGCCACATCCACAGGGCTTTTAAACCCCTCCAGGGATGGGGACTCCACCCCTGCCCTGCACAGCTGGTCACCCCTTTCCATGAAGAAATTTTCCCTAATATCCAATCCAGCTTGCCCTGTCCCAGCCTGAGGCCGTTCCCTCTGCTCCTGTCCCTGTTCCCTGGAGCACAGCCCGACCCGCCCCCCCCCCGGCTGTCCCCTCCTGTCAGGAGCTGTGCAGAGCCACAAGGGCCCCCTGAGCCTCCTTTGCTCCAGGCTGAGCCCCTTCCCATATCCCTCAGCTGCTCCAGATCCTTCCCTGGCCCAGCTGCAGATCATTCTGTGCTTGCGCTGAGCACCAGGGAAATGTCCCATCAATGTCCCACTGGGATTTCACAGGGTGCTGCTCTTGCCGTGGGCTTTGAAGGCAGAAAGGACAAGAGGCATTTGGAAGGGAAGCCAGGGAGCATTGGGCCACCAACAATGACTCTTGGAAGAAGGACTTTGGTTAAGTTAATTGTGATCTGTAACTCCCCCTCCATTTCTCAGTCTTTCCCCAGTCTTTTTGTACTCTCTTGTCACTTAAATTTTTACTGCCAGTGTCTTCAAAGTGGGGACACAGAGCTCCCGTGAGCAGAGAGGGCTCAGCTACTTAAAGGAGTCCACCTTTCTAAACAGGAACATAATGTTGAATGTTGATATTTCCCCTGAAATTTAATCTGATCACTTCCAAAGTAGCTTTGGCTCAGTTAAACAGCTTTTTAATATATAGAGAAAATTGAAATTTTTATTTCAGTGCATTTAATATTGTGCTTGGATTGATAATGGGGTATAAAATGAAAGCAGTGAAAGCAGTTGAAAAGAAAAAGAACTCTCCTTGAAAGAAAACAAAAAAATATTTAAATGGCTGTATGAAATGCCTTCTAAAGAAAGGTCATAGAATCCCAGACCAGTTTGGGTTGGAAGAGACCTTAAAATCATTCAGTCCCACCCCCGCCATGGCAGGGACACCTCCCTCTGTCCCAGGCTGCTCCAAGCCCCAGTGTCCAGCCTGGCCTTGGGCACTCCAGGGATCCAGGGGCAGCCACAGCTG